CGTTTCCTTTTAAAGTTTAGGTTGGTTTTGTGTGAATATGGGCGCCATACGGTTAGTTAATAATTTTACTTACGGGATCTAGTAATATGATTTCGTTGCAGCTTTAACTTTCCTCAGGCTTCATTCAGAATAGTTTGTGGTATATTGCCTAGTACTGAGCCTCTTTAATAGGATGCTGATATTTAGAAGCTCGACTGTAACATGGAAAACGTATTTGTGATATGCAAGTAGAAAATTTATGCGAACCGAATATGATTTCAGCACCTTGGAGAGTGGACTTACCTATGAAAGAATGTGAATGGAAGCGCCCCCTTGCGGCCATAATACGTTTAATTGTCTTTCTATGACCAGGTTGCTTTCACGCACTGTTAACTCTTGCCTGCTATGCTCCAATTTGGTTTAATCCGTCAAAGTAGAACATTTTCTTGAATATAAATCTTGAACAAACTCTTTAAGAATGAATTTACACAGTACTGTTTAAATAGTGTTTAGCAAATGCTGCTGGAGTTCGAAATAATGTCCACTTCTGGTTTATTTTGAATGCAAGTTTACTTTAAAAATCAAACTGAATTAATTATAGACTCTTCTTTTTAATGTATTTCCTTGTTTCCTCATAACGTTTCTCCGAGTGTGTGCAGTTCAGGCTGCTTGTGTGGGATTGATAAACCGATTTAATCTGAACAAGCCGACATGAAATACTTAAGTGGTGTGTGTGTATATATATATATATTCTGCATGCATACAGCTTTTATACATTCTGTGGCGGGAGGAGCAAACGACAGACACAGTGGGTGTGGCGTCAGGCCTCAGAGAGGCTTTTATTAACAGAAAAATAACAAAAACGGGGAATAAAGTGTCCAAAGGGGATCTGGTGTCCTCGTCGTGCTGCGGGATACGTGAAGGTGGGGCAGTGTTCGGGAAGGAAGGGTCCAGCCAGGTAAGGGGCGGAGTCCGGCGGCCGCACGCGTGCCCCTCTCCGGTCCGTGGCGCAGCGGCTTCTGACAGGGGCTTCATCCTTCTCTGCCCACGGCGCTTGAAGGGACTAGACGGCCCGGCATTCTGGCCCGACGGTCGTGTAACGGGTGCGGTTCTCGTCCAGAAGCTCGCATCTTCGGCGGTACGGAGATCCCTTCCTGGACCCACGAGGACACCTGCATACATGCACGGGAAAGAGACTGGCCTCCTGAGGAGAGGCGCGCTCGGCCTTTAACAGCGGCGGTGATGAGGCTCCATTCGGTTCAGGTGTGCCTCATCACACGCCGCCAGCCCTGGCTATTTCAGCGCCCCTCCTCTCTCACGCACCCACTCCTGTCAGGAGCCTGGCGAAGGGCGGCGATTAAGGGACGGGGTGATGCTGATAATTAGGGGGAGGCAGCCGACTCGTCACAATTCATAACCTAAAATGTTGTTGTTCATAAAAATGTCCACAGATGATAGAAAGAGGCTAGAATAGATTCTGACATAAAATATTAGATTTTTAGAATAATCAGTGCAATTGTCATTACAGTCTACTTTTTTAGTCAACCTTCAAGCGAAAAGGCATAGGGTAGAGGTTTTGTTTGAGTCATGTTTTCTCACAAAATATTCATATGATGAGTGGGGGAATTGTAAGTATCAATCATCATCAGAAGTTTATGACATTATATCTGAGATTTAGCAGTAGCAATCATGAAAGTAGCCAGAAAGAGAAAAATAATAGCATGCATTTGAGCTGCAAGCTTTCTGTTCAGTGCAAAATTATTCTCAACATCCCAAGATAATGATTTCAGGCTTCGTTCTCCAGTGGGATATTTTGAGAAGTCTGACATATCGCGACAAAAACTGAATGCCACAGCAGCCTTTTAGGAAAAGTATACTTAATAATGCATAACATGTTCCGATGTCACAGCAAAATGTGCGCTTGGCAGTGGAGGGTGATGTCTTGAGGGGAGGGGGATTGTAGGGGAGGAGATCTGTAACAACACAAGCCTTATAGGGGCTTTTGTGAGTGGAGATTAAGAAACAAACCCCTGAAGCTAAACTACACCACAAATGGCATTGCTAGAGTCGAGAGTCGCCCTGTCAAGCGGCCTGTGCCTTCACACATGAACAGAAAGTGACAGAACATGCCAAGGAGAGAGAAAGAAAGGGAGAATGAAGAGCAAGCGAGGGAGAAGTCAAGCCTGGCTTAGCAGCTGCGCTAAGGGAGATCCCTTTCTTGCGAGGTCAGGGACCAGTCTGCTGCAGACAATCAGATTGCATTATGGGATAGGAGGTCTGCCAGGTTCAGTAGCAGTCATGGAGTGTAGACAAACCTGTGCTTTGATTTTGCCTTCTACTGACAGGCTAAGTCACATGCAGCCATCATCAAGCCTTCTGTTTGCAATTGCTACTAGGGCTGGGTATCGTTCAAAATTTTTCGATGGAAAGCCGGCTTGAACCGCAGTGGAAACGTCAGTATGACGAGGATCGTTTTCATTTTAAAACAAAAGCGCACCAGTGTAAATGTAGCCTTACAGCTACAAGGGCTGGGACGCATTCACACAAAATACTCACGCGTGAGCCACATCTCTGAGTGTCACAGTCGCGGACCGACTGTGCAGACCTATCGGTGTATTAGGCTATAGTAAGATACCACGAGCAGACTGCTCCGTACGTTTTCGCATCGCTCTCGCGGATGTCAAACACTGATCGATCTGCACCTTACTGACGTTGATGAGATTAACTCCTTAGGTATCGGAATTTGGTACCGAACGACGAGACGTTTTTCGATACTCGATGGTTTCGAGGCAATTCGGTCGGTGCCTAAAAAGTATCGAACTCGATACCCAGCCCTAATTGCTACACATTATGATGAAAGAAAGATCTTGCACCTGAATATTAGAAGAGGTGACACAGAGGAGTGGATGGTTGTGCTGTGGATAAATCTGGATTAGAGCAGAGATCATCAGACTCTGTGGGTGCGTGTTGGGCTGTCATGTTTAGGGAAAACCATCGAGAGCTGCATGCCAAAAGTTTGCCAATTTTTAAATTTTTTTGTCCCCCATCCTCAACATTACAGCTGTTAAGAGGTTTGTCCCACCTACTCTTTCCCTCTCTCCTGCTGTCTCCTTCTTTCCCGCCCTGTCTCCTCACTCTGTCCTTGGTAAATCTGGAGGATCTAATCACACCCTCCATCCATAGTCTTAGATAATGGTCGTTGTGGTTGATGTGATGAGTTTTAATAGGACATGTCCATGCCTTAAGATTCATAATAAACTGACCTTTACCAATTCTACATGTATTCATTTGGATTAATCCATAGGTTAAATGTCTAAGTTAAGCAGTGAAATAAATAGACTGAATTATGTTCTTTCATTTACTGTTTTTTTTCTTTCTTTTTTCCTCCCTAAAGCATATTTTAAGGCATGGTTCCGTTCTGGTTTTCATTACAGCTAATGTGACTAATCTGTGCTTTTCAAAGTTTAAGTACATCTCTGATCCTAAAATATTTGCCTTATGATGAACTCTTTCATCCACTGGCACCAAACACCCTTTTATTTAGGCAGCTTTGGTCAACAGTCAGAATGTAATTTCATGCTCCATGTTTTTCTAATTGGAGATTATGCTCCATTACGACCCTACTCAACTCCCTGTTCTGTGATTTTACAGTGACAATGATTGTTCAAATTATCCCTTCTGCACTAGAATGTGCATGAGCTTTGCTCTGGTGAGAAAAGAGCCCCCGTCTGAGGGTGGTCCACTGCGAGACTGCGCTGTGATCTGACTCACCACTCCACCTCGTTTAGGGCTCACAAGGTTAATTGATCACTGTGGGGCTGGTGATGGGATGAGAGTGGGGTCAGCATCTGTATTGACTGGACAGACTGATTAACAAGCACTAAAACGCTCCTGGTCACCGCTTTGAGAACGTTTGGTAGGTCGTCGTCAATTATCCCCCTGCCAGCCTCCGTCAGGGGGAACTGGCAACCTTTGCTCTCACTGTATTTTGTAGCTGTGCTGTGCAGAAACTGTGTTTTTGCAAAACGCACGTGGATGACTCTTAACTGCTCTGTAACGATTGCTCTTAGCAGACAGCCAAAGGGTTACAAACTAATTGAATCTAAAAAAACATTTCATATGGTAGAAATGGTTACACATTGCGTGATGGGTATAATGATTGTCCGAAAAAATCAATCTTCTGATGTTGACAATGAGCACATTTACAGACAACAAAACTCTGATAACTGTCAGAAATTGGCTCATTATGAAAACCTTTTTTTAAGAGATCGCATGCAAATCAATAAATTACGTTTTTCATGGAAGACCATTCAAAAGTAACCTTATATTCTGACAAAATACCCTTTTTTGCTATATCGCCAACATTTCCCCAATTTTGTTTTGGAGGACAGAGCCATTGGAATGAAGGGGAATGCTAACAAATTTCAGGTTTCTTCATTTTAGTGAAGACTCCATTGTTAGAAAGCTGATGTAAATAGACATATACATTGAATAACCTAACAGTTTTTATATGCAAAGCAACGTGAATAGCAAGCATACATATCTAGGTGTCTATCTGGTTTTCCATGTTAAAAGAGCACCACTTAAGACATTTAGATTTCTTTAAACATTGTCAGAGTAATCAGTGTACGCCTTGCAATGTAGGCTACTGTAGAATTAGAATCAAATACAGTAAAACAAAAAAAGTGAATGAGCCTTTGATTTTTTTTTTTATGAAAACATTCAGTTGTTCAGATCTCACAAGACCTTAGACATGGATCCTTTTCTTGCTGCTCCTTCTTCTATGTAGTATTTCTTTTGTATTTTGTTTTATTTCAGTGCATAATTTTACTGTTCTAAAGCACAACAGATAAAAGCAGAACTTTGTTGAAGTTTAGTTTTTTTCTGCAAATTCCATTACTTGTTGCAGCTTTGTATTTTCAGACCTACTATTCAAATACCCCACACATGCCTCAGAGAATGAGTCACTGGATGATTCTGGATGAACTCAGATGAAATATCTGTTCATTACAGTACACAGTGAATAGTCTATTAGAGGGGCGGCCCAAATAAAGGAAGCAGCCATGCGTTTCCCGCTGCTCTTGACACTGCAGGCATCATGGCTGACTGTTTGTCAGGCCACGCAGCACTATCCCACAACCTGGGGACACTACGACTTGTGCAAGTCAGAAGGCTACACGGACGAAGGCCCAATCTGGTATTACATGGCCTGTCAGCCGGAAGCCGCGGACATGACCAAGTACCTAAAAGTGTTTCTTGACCCACCCAACATCACCTGTGGAGACCCACCAGAGACCTACTGCACCCTGGTGAGTGAATGAATCATATGATTTCACCTACAGTGTATTTACTACTTGTTGTGGCTTCATCTCATTTTATATCATTTATTAATGTGCTTCACATTTGATATGCAAATATATTCATGGTGCCACATACAGACTATCACATACAGTTAAACAGTTTTGAAGTTGTGGGATTGATCTGCATATTCTACAACCAGTAGGAACAGAGATGCTCACAAATACCTGACAAAGTAGATTTTATTCATTTAGGCCATTATAACTGCTAATAAAGACTAGGCTTGCCACGATAGACGGTGTTGACGGTGATACCGGTGTTAAGCCGCAACACCGGTTACGTCACTTGCCCACCGCGTAATTCAAAAGTGAAAGTAAAATGCGCACGGCGCTTTTAAGCTATTTAAAAGCGAAGGAAAGCGAGGAAAAGAGGGAAAATTCAAACTAACTAAAAACGAACAATTGCTTTACTCCGAATTGCCGCTATTTTAAAGTGAAAGTAAAATGGGCACACCGCTTTTACAAGCTATTTAAAAGTGAAGGAAAGCGAGGAAAAGGGGGAATGCCCCGCCCCCGCGGTGATACCGGTATTACCGGTGTTGTCACACGCCGATTAACCGGTGGGAAAATGTCCTCACCGACACAACCCTAATAAAGACTCAAGAGTAGTGCAGATGAAACCTCAGTTAAAGTCACATTTGTGTCAGTGTAAATGGTGTCCACTTCCTGTGCCGGGTCATCGACTGTTTCAATTTATATGGTTAATTATCTTGTTTCATCTTTGGTGGAAGCCTTCATTAGGCCTTTGTGGAGAAAATGCTGTCTGTCGTTAACATTGAAAATGAGAACTAGAAAAGAGTTAGAGATAGAAGAAGAGAGAGAGAGACTGATGAAAGAGGCACTTAAAAAGTCTGTCTCTTTTTGAGGAGGTGAGCTGCATGTCTTTTATGGGCAAGTCTTAAGTGTTTAATTAGAAAAAATGTCATTTGTGCATTTACGCACGGTTCTTTGAAACTCACACTTGGCCTGCACTATTAGAAATTAGTTAATGGTTATCAGTGTGCTAGTGTGTGTGTTTGTGTGTGTGTTTTCGAAGACTCAATGCCTAACATCTGAAGTTTAACTACAGGTTCAGAGAGTGAGTGAGAGGCTGTTTACAGTATTTAAGAGGTGAAAATAACGAGTGGAGTGGGACAGTCCAATGAGAGTCCGCTGAGTGACAGAGGACCTAATATCTGGCGTGCATGGAGTAAAAAGTGAATTATTCAGTATGTTTTGTCGCTAATGTGTTTTATTCATAGGATACATTATTCAGAGCCATATCTGGGAGGCACTTTTGAAAATGCTGACTCTCTCTGATAGATTCTCAAGGTTAGAGCAAGGGCTGTTATCCATTTTGGAGGGTCACTGTCACAATATAGCTCTGCTCTCTGGTTTCCCAAGGGCCCATAGTAAAAAAAATTGACACATAATTTTACCCCAGCACACCAGTCAGTTAGTATTGCAATAACAGATGTTTCACAAACAGCATGCACTGTGGTCATGCCTGCCTTCATTCCTGGCCCCAGTATTACTTATAAAATGTCTGTGGCTGTTATAATAGAAATATAGTTCATAGTTGCAAAAACCCTGATTTAACAGTTGAGTAGACTCATAGGCCAAGTATAAAATATTTATTGTAAAACATTTCTGGTATTGCTAGTTGATCAGGCCCCCTTGTTGTTAAGCAACATAAATTGCAATTGTCCAGCCTTGAAATCCACTCGGTTTTCTGCCAGTGCATCGAGTCCGATCAATTTCTGTGCTGTTAGCCATAAATTGGCAGCAGACATTACATAGATATACTGATTATGCCAATAACAGTTTTTATGATGTCTGTAATCATTCTTTTATTTCCGGCTATTGCCATTAGTGTTCTTTATACAAGAGCTCAATCCTCCGTAATTGATTTCTACTCAGGCTGGCCATGGGCTTCTCTCTCCCTCCCTTTCTGAGGCTGCTGGGCTGTTTCCTCTGATTAGACCTGTAACAGCCATCGCAGGCAGACAGCGAACCCACTCCAGGCTGGAGAAAACCAAGCACTGGGGAGACCAATGCTTTACCCTGCAATCTGAAGTGCAGGAAGCTGGACAGATCCATTTGTGAAAAGCTTTTATACTGCCATGGGTGATGACCTTCTCTATGGCAAAAACTTGACCCTCGTGCCCTACACCACATAATAATGCCTGCTCAGACACTCTTTAAGTGGAATCTGTGCTGTAGACAGTGCTGTTTGTCTCTGAATGTTTGTGTACTTTTGTTGTCCGAAATTGTGGAATTAATGCCAAAGACTTCTAGACTTGGATAACATGTCATTGCAAGTCAGTTGAGGACGTATACTTTATCACACTTTGTGCACACTCACTAGTGGGGTGGTAGTCGGCCCCACTTCTCTATTTACACCAAAACACCTCAAACTTGCTCACAATCTGTATGTCTTATTCTCTGTCTCAACATCTAAACTTTTAAAGGAAATGTCTCTAACATTTTATAATAAATGCTCACCACCTCAAGCTTTTGGCCCTTTGAGCGTATCCAAAAAGTTGCCTTTGTATTTAACCTCTTGAAATTCTCTCATGTTAGACCTCTGCTCAGGTCTTTACACTGTCTGCCAGTAATTGCTAGAATAAATTTAAGACCTGCCTAAAATGCTGCTTTGGTCTGTGCCACCACTATCTTTAGACTTTAATCAAACGGCTCCAACCTGGTCACTGCTATCAGCCATTTCTGTCACCTTGCTTCCCAATTTCTCCATGTTCACACTTTTTTTTCCACACTTGCCTCTCGATATTGGATGTGAACTCTCTAACTATCAGTACAGCCAGTTTCAGTAAAAAAAAAAAAGAAGACCTCATGCACCACGATAAAGGATCATTAAAACAAATTTGGCAATGGTTTTCATATTTACAGTTAGATATAATTCAAAAAGCTTGTTCATCAGTCATGTGGCTTGACACAATTCAGCGAGACGCTCCTCACTAATGCAACAGCCTCAGAAGACCTCTCCTTTCATCATGTGATATTATACATCCTAGAAAGAAGAACTGAATGGCATAGCTGTTTTTAATAAGGATAATGAAACAATTACACAGTTAAAAAAAGAAAACTAGATTGTGGTTAAAAAAATCATAATGGCTTTCAGCTGAAGATTGTCCCATTGCAGCATTGCTCAAGCTTTCATTATTCTATAAAGTGACTCCGCTTTATTTATGTTTTGATATATAATTCTGACCTTGTCCTGCATATTTTTGAGTGATATTGCAGAGCTCAGGGAGTGATGGAAGACATTTTGGTTCATCAGCCTTCTCTTAGAGCAGTGCCATTCCTCAAGTGGCTTAGCATTGACATTTCAGTGAGATTTGAGTGTGCTGTCAGCTACAATATGCCTCCTCTCATATTTAAATGTGTCTCAATGAAAGCCGAGGGGAAAAGGCTCCTGCCAATACAGTGTAGTTTCAGACAAATGGTGACATTCAACTTTAATCAAATAGTTTATTCATGCCGAATTCATGCTGAGCGATTGCACAAAACCAGTCACAAAGCAGCTTTTCAAAAGTGCTGACTTTTATGAATGGACTGAGGCAAATATTTGCATTTTAACACTATTGAAAAATTAATTACTTTTCAATAGAGCTGTTAAACATCTGAGTAGTTGTGCCACATGATTGATATATTTATTTGTTTTCTTTTTAGCCCAGTTGTAGAGCTGATAGAAATCAAAGGCTGCTGTAATGGCTGACTAAAGTGGCTGCTTGGTATCAGAGCCTAACACTCAAAAAGTGAACAAATCAGATAGAATTATCAATCTTAATCAGGCGTTAGAACAACCCTCTAGAATAAAAATGTAAAGCCTGGTTCAGACTACACAATTTTTTTGTCGGTTACGTCAATCATTGTGTCAGATTATGCGATTTTGTCTCCTAAAATCTTGTCGTGTCGTGAACAAGAACCATGTCAGACTACACATTGCTGCCCGACCATTCACCGCTTGCCATCTTTAACGGCATGCGTGCTGTCCTCGATACGGTGGGAATAGACAGAACGTGCCATGAGTGTAAACAAACAATGGCTAGCAAACAGCTTTCTTGCCCTGTTTTGCCCTGTTTTATCATCAGAAAACAGAACACTCTGTCACGGTAGTCCCTCAAGGAAACATCATAAATGCAGGAGTATTATTGCCATAGCTCCACGAACATTTCCTCCATTGTAAAATTCCACCTAGCAGGACCGATACCATTGTCTCTCTTTTGTTTCGGAATGTTTGAAAGCATGTACAAAGGCGCTTCTCTGCTCCTATTGGCCATGTCACAGATGTGAGGGAACTAGTCGTGGACGATGGAAAAAAATATTAAACATGCTAGTCTTTCTGTGGTGAAGTCGTGAAGCATCGCAGACGTGGCATCGGTTGTCATGACACACTACACGAGATGAAACGATTGAATCTTGCCTCCCAACGCCCATTGTCGTTTACGAATCCCCACAACACCCTACATCAAGCAGATTGTGCCAAAATCTGGCTAAAATCGTGTAGTCTGAACCGGGCATAAGACATAGAGTATGTATGACATCGAAAGAATGCTTTGACGGTTTAGCTCTTTGAAAGTCTAGCAGAAACATATTTAATTTACATTTACATTCTTCATCATGTTCTTGATTTTAGACTTTTGTTTCACTACTTATGTATAGCACTAGTGGTCGACCGATATGGGTTTTTTGACAACCGATGCCGATATCTTGGAAAGCAGGGTGGCCGATGGCCGATATAATTTTATTTATTTTAATTAATATATAAGAAATTTTAAATCATTTGAAAATTTATTAAAAATAATTGTGTAAAATAAACATACTTATACTTTAGAAGACAAAGCATTTTTCACAAATAAATATTTAATAAAAATCTAATTGAAAAGGAAGTAAACACTGTAACCAACAGGGCACTCAGTATTCTGGGAAGTTTGTGTGCACTGGGAATC